ACGTCGGTTGTCTGAGTTGCTGCGAACGGCGCCGAATTGACTCTCCACGGTCTTCGTGTACTTATTATTCTTTTTTTATGATGAGTGTCATCATAATGATTTTGCAAATCTTACGGAAGAAACGCTAAGTACTCTGGAACAACCAAATGCGAAAAGAAATACTTGGTAGCACACCAAATAAACGCTTATGCCCCAACAAGTTAGTAAAGCATTGTTGTTTGACTTGCCTCATCATTAATCACCTTTAATTGGAAAACAATACGCAAGTATCCACATGTGTGCGCTGTGGAACAATGATATATTGCAAAGTATAAATATTGATTCCAAGGATGACAGTGCGTTTTCCCACAAAGCCAATCAAATCTCCGTACAATTATTACAGCAGCCTTCTTGCTTCATGCAGTCGCTTTTTTATTGCCAAATCAAACCCAAATCCGACAAATAAGCAATATAATTTCTTATCTTTTCAGAAAAAGACACACGCTGCCAGTATCAATGCCAAAGCCACTTTCACTTTACCTCTCAATCCCGAAAGGCATAAAATCTGTGCGTCGAACGCACCCCTACACACACATACACGTGCACGCCAGAGAAGAGATCCCTTGAAAATTAACAAAATTATTTGTCTTGACTTTGATTTATTGTGCGTGTRCAACACCCGAGATGTTCGGCCTGACTTTCACTTGAATTCTTGAATATCGAATTTTGATTGATGTCGCGCCAATGGAGATTTTCAATTTGGTGCTTATTATTAACGAAATTGCCCATGGCCTCGCAATAAAGTGAACATTTTTCACTCGTGTTGCCTAAATTGCAAATTAATTGTGTTCGATTGACAATATCAGCAAAGTTCCCCCAAGTGTAGTTTTTTTGAACAGTCAAGTGCAGGAATTATGTTTTGATTAAGAGGACAGCTCTTCAACACCAGTAAGCAAATCATGGCATAAAGCGGTCTCTTCAACTACGAAAGGAAGTAATATTACTCRAGATGAAAAGACAAGATCTTCTTAYTCCTTATTGGCGAAGACTCCGCTTACGGGTTTAAAGCCGAGTTTACAACAGCGCTCCAGTCGTTCKTACTTTTCACTGCTTGCCACCAATTGAAGCCTCCAAGTATAGCCAGACTCTTCTCMACTTAGTTTTTTCAACAGAGTGAAGTTCTTCCTCTTCCTCTGCTTCTCCCGGCGGGTGCTGCRTCTAATACTCCCAGTGCTGGAGTGTTTTCATCCATTCGGATGCCACTGTTGGCAAGAGTTGTTCTGCGTCGGATTTCGGGACTGACATATTGCGTTAGTGCTGGTTTCAAGATAGATTACTGTCCACAGTGGCGAAGTAAATTCTCAACATCAGTTGAAYTTGTTATGAATTGCCCAGGTACCATTCGTGGAATATTGACAGWGAATTAAAATACACGAATGCAAYCCCCGTRAATAAATTCCGTTACAAAGATGTAAAGGACTGGTAACAACAAAACTACAACTCCTATCATTCATGTGGTATTAGTGCCACAAAATTTTCACAGACAAAATTAAAAGCAACAACAACAAAATATTTCATTTAAAGCAATCGACCGAAAACGTGGGCGAAGTAATCGTCTACATCAGTAGACGGTTTCAACTACATGGGGCGCCGCCRGTGGGAGGATGGGAAAATAATGCGAACAAGAAACAATTGCACAGCACCACGCCAAATTGAAGGGGTGGGACGCAGGTGTGGTACAAARCAGTCCGGCCGTTTAGGCTGCCAAACTAGGCAGGCACATTTTAATTTATGCGAATTAGGTAATACAGAAACAAGTGCGCGCCGGCCGGGGAGCTCGGAGTTGCGCGTTGTTGGCTGCAGTACAAATATTTGATAGGTAAATTATTTGGTAAGCAACGTGTGCTGAAATTAGCAGCCACAAGGAGTGCGTTCAGCGAGCGCGCGGTGGCACAATGGCCAAATATTCAAAAAAAAAAATCGCAAAATTTAAATTGAAAAGAACTGAGTATTAGGAAAAAATGCGAATTTAGCTATTTGCTTCACTTTGACGACGGCAAAAACGCCAATATTTTGCGTGTATCTAACTAAATGCTAAGCCGGAGATTTACACATTTATCTGCCGTTACTTTTTCGATTGTTATTTGCTTTTATTTAGTGTTAGCAGCGCCAAAACTTTTGTACTACAGAATTGATAATGTGCGGTGTTTTTTGTGCCTCTAACCACAAGAGGATCAACTGTTGAGCGGTTAAAGTGTTGACTCTTGTGCTGCCTTTAATCTGTGATGCATGTACATAGGTATATATAGAGCCATATGTATTTCTTATATAATACGTATGTGAGTGCGCACAGTGGCTTTGTGGTTTCCAACAAGTTTATGCCTCCAACTCTTCTTTTCTCTTTTATTGCTGCATACACACTCTGATCAATACACGGATGGTAGTTGGGTCTTAAATTTCAATGGAACTTTAATAGAACGAAATTACTTAGCTATTAACAAAGTTAAGTGCACATAACTACTGGTTACCAGAAATAAATAAAGTTATTTTTAAGTTCTGCTACTCCAAATCAGAACAAAGTATTTTTACGAGTCGGCAGTGTTTATTTGTTATCATTCGGGCAGCTTTTGATGGCTGCTTCAAATCTGATTTCAGCGCAGTCTGCTCGAGTCGTATAACAATAATACTCTTGCCACCATTTCCTAGAGAATATCATAGTTTTGTTCACCTAACGGTTGCATGCATCATCTAAAACTAATTGAAATAGATATAGGGTTATATATCGGACCACTGCCACGCCCACAAATCGCCATTAACCAACAAAATATAAAATGCCATGACTATGCACTAAATTAAGATAAAAAACTGTAATTTAGTATAGGTGATCGCAGTAAGATAGACTTATGGGTAAAGTTTTCCATAAAAGTGGGAGTGGCCCCACCCTCTAACAAGTTTAATGTACATATCTCATAAACCACTTAAGCTACAAACACAAAATTTGATGAGTACAAATCTTCTAGCAACTTCTACGGATAGTATGAAAAGAGAAGAAAACG